CGAATCCCTTCATTGTCATAACCAATGAATATTTATAATGATAAGAATTGGCTCTCGTCTGCACCTTCATGTACTTAGGGGAACCATCCTCTCCATGAGGGTCCATCATCGCTTTAAAATTTTTCATGTACTGAATAGGCAGAGGACTAAGAAAATCATTGTTGGAAAGGTCCAAAACTCGTAACTTGAGAAAAGATGGACTTTCTTTGGTGCTCTACACAATACCGTGGAACTTGTTGGCCCTTAAGACAAGCACTTGAAGGTCTAGTAGTGTAAGGATAGGTCTGGTAGTATAAGGATTTGTCCGAGGTCCTTAACCTCGGACGTACTGTAACAATTCCTTAATAGCCGAAGTGAAGTTAAATCTAGCACTTCCCTGTCAAATGGCTACATGATAAATACAGTGGACATGCCCACACCTGATTTATCACACATAATTTCTCGATCCCGAATTTACCACCTTAAGGGACACGTCACACTTCGATTATCCTGTTAAGCAAGCCACATGGACACCTCACAAAGGCCTATAAATACCCCCTAGGGGCCACCTCAAAAAGGTAATTGAAACCAACCTAAAGCTCCTTTTTCATTACTCTAGAGGTAGATCCAATTATTGCTGACTTAAGCATCGGAGTGTTTACCCCGAGGACCCACCTCGGGGCTTTGCAGGTTCATCCGAAGTGAAGACGTGGACTGAGGAAGGATCTCTAGTTTGGTGCAATCACATTGGCACCGTCTGTGGGAATTTGAACTAAAAGCTCTTTTGTTACTTTCTCATCATGGTCAACACTCAATCTGTCTGAGCTAGAAATCAAGCTCAACCTCTTGGACAAGGTCAAGGTCAACTCCCCAACAACCTTCCACCTCACCTACCACCTCAGATCCCAAATATGTTCCCTCATGTTGATCATGCAGAAGAAGGAGATGAAAACCAACCTCACAACTCAGCTTACAACTCAACTTCCACCACTAATCAAGATGTAGTTACAGCTCAGCTTGCTGCTATGCAACAATAGTTTGGTGTCATTTAGTTAGTTTTGGCTCAACTCCTAGCTTGGAAAAATCCTGACAATCCCTTCATCAATTTACTGAACCTTACTCCACAACCCCCAATTCAACAACAAGACCCCCAACCAGTTCAACATGCTTCTGCTCTTAGTGAGTCTCAGGGTCAGTCTCACATAGCTCCAGCTCAACAACCTCTACCTGATGATGTCACTCGACGTCTGGACAGTCTAGAAAAACTGGTAGCCGAACAGCGAGGTGCCCCACCTCCACACCCTCATACTAATTCCATACCTCATCCTCTGAACGCCAACATCACATTAGAACCTTATCCCGTTGGATTCAAAATCCCTCAACTCAAGACATATGATGGGACGAAGGATCCCGATGATCACCTCCATGCCTTCTACTCCTGCATGCAAACTTAGAACGCCTCTGATGTGTTAATGTGTAAGATCTTTCCCTCCACTCTTCGTGGTAATGCTCGAGCCTGGTATTATAGTTTTCCCCCAAGATCTATCAGCTCCTATTCAGAAATGGCATCTGCTTTTGCCACAAAGTTTTCCAATAGAAGGTTGATCAGGAAAACTACTTTTGAACAGATGCGAGTCAAACAAAGGGACGAAGAATCTCTAAAGAATTACATGAGCATGTTTAATGATGCAGTTCTCGAAGCCAGCTCCTTCAACCAAGCCGTAGGAATTGCGGCTCTAATTCAAGGTCTCCAACATGAAAGATTCAGAGATAGCTTAATAAAGCATCCTACTGCTACTTTCAACGAGGTTAATGACAGATCGTTGAAATTTATAACTGCTAAGGAATATTCTTTATCCTAGAAACCAGTTCTTCCCAAAAATCAAAACCCAGATTGGAGAGATGAGGGTCAAAGCAGAAAGCGGATGAAGACAATACAAAACCGAGGTCCGATGTCGACCTCTACAACGAGATTCGAAAAACCAAACTCACTTCCCCCCAATAAAATATCAATAAAGCACCATTTACATGGACTCCTTTCAATCTGCCAAGGTCTCAGATATTCATGCAGATCAAGAATAAGATGGATTTGAGGCCACCAGTGCCGATGAGCAGTTCTACTGTTACACGTGATCATACCAGATACTGTGATTTTCATCAAGATCATGGTCATATAATGGAGCAGTGCAATAGTCTGAGGTCTGAGTTGGAAAACCAAGCTCAGAAGGGAATGCTGAATGAATACATCCAGAGAACTGAGCAACCGAAGTTTGTTAGAGAACAGGGGCCACAGCCACAGGGATCTCGTAGCGCAGGAAAAAAACAGGGTGTGGGATATCAACAAGTGCCACCTCCACTCCCACCACCGACTAGAATTATACATATGATTACGGGAGGCTTGGAAGCAGGAGGTTTGAGTTCTAAGTAGCGAAAGTTGTACGTAAGAGAGGTTAAGCATTAAAACTGAGCTCAGAAAAGAAAGTTTGACAATGCTGACTGGAGGAATCAACCCATCACTTTCACATCTGTTGATTTCGATACAGTTGTCACACCCCATAATGATCATCTGGTCACTTCCGTCATGATTAACAACTATGGGATACAACGTATCCTTGTTGACATAAGGAGTGCACCAAACATTATGTACTTTCACTGTTTTGAGAGTCTTGGGCTGGATCCAGCTTTGTTGCAGAGGTACGATGGTCCCATCTATGGATTCAGCAACCAACCTGTTCAAGTGGAAGGAGTCCTTACTTTCAACGTTGCTTTTGGAAGCGACCGCACTTATGTTACCCCTTTGGTTCGGTTTTTAGTTGTCAAAATGGCATCCTCATTCAATGTTGTTATCGGACGACCCACATTAATCGAGATCTAAGCTGTGGTCTCTCAATCTCACCTCTTCATGAAATTCCAAACTCCCATGGGGATAGCAACACTACGAGGTAACTAGGAGGTGGCTAGAAATTACTACATTACCTTAGTTACAAGGCCTCAGAAAGGCAAAGATCAGACACCAGAAACCATTCTCCAACGAGTTCCTAACAATCAGCAAGTCATAGGTGTTGACATAGTAGACAACCAACCAGAGGATGAAACCAAGGCTACCCCAATTGAGGATGTAGAAGAAGTGCAAATGAATGACAAAGATCCAAACAGGAAAACACAAATTGGAACTCGGTTAAACCCAAAGGAAAGAGCAAATCAAATAGCTTTCCTCCAGACTAACAAGGATGTCTTTGCTTGGATCTCAGCGAACATGCCAGGGATCCTAACCTCGGTATCTCAACACATACTCAACACTAATCCATTAAAGAAACCAATAGCCTAGAAGCGACGTCTCTTTGGGGGGGAGAGGCTTCAGGTTATAAAAGAAGAGGTAGATAAGCTCCTACAAGCTGGTTTCATTAGAAGAGTTGATTACTGCGAATGGGTGGCTAACCCGGTGTTGGTCAAAAAGGCAAATGGTAAATGGCGAATGTGCATCGATTACACAAATCTCAACCAAGCTTGTCCTAAGGACTGCTATCCAATGCCAAGCATTGACAAATTGGTTGAAGCGGCTTCTGGAAATGAGAGATTAAGTCTGTTGGATGCATATTCTAGTTACCACCAGGTGCCGATGGCTCCAGAAGATGAAGAGAAAATATCATTCTATACAGGTGATGAAATTTACTGTTATGTCATGATGCCCTTTGGCTTAAAGAACGCAAGTGCCACTTACCAGAAAATGGTGACCATCGTCTTCCGAGCTTAGATCGGCAAGAATCTGAAAGTTTATGTCGATGACATTGTGGTAAAGAGCCTGAAAGCAGAAGACCATCTAGCTGATCTCGATGAAACATTCAACAACCTCAGAAAGAACAGAATGTAGTTAAACCCAGCCAAATGCATCTTCGATGTGGAGTTTGGGAAATTTCTAGGCCTTATGGTTTCCCGGAGAGGGAATGAGGTTGACCTAGAAAAGATCAGAGCAATTGCCGAGATGAAACCGCCGAAACCGGTAAAAGATATATAGAGATTAACTGGAAAGGTGGCAACTCTTCATAGATTCATATCGAAGTCAGCAAATATGTGCCTGCCATTCTTCAAAATCATGAGGTCAGCAGCCCAGAAGGACGAATCTGGCAAACAGAAGAAGTTTGAATGGAACCAAGAATGACAAGTTGCATTCGATGAGCTGAAGTCTTATCTTAACTCACCACCCCTACTGACTAAGGCTATAGATGGAGAAATTCTCTATTTGTACCTCGGTATTTTAGATGATGCAATTAGTTCAATTTTGGTGAGAGAAGAAGGCAAACAGCAGAAACCAATTTATTATATCAATAGCGTGCTACATGGAGCAGAACTGAGGTACCCTATTGTTGAGAAAGCAGCACTAGCAGTTGTCACTTCGGCTAGAAAGCTGAGGCCATACTTCCAGTCACATTCAATCATCGTCCTCACAGAACAACCTCTTCGATAGATCCTTCAGAAGCCAGAGTGTTCAAAAAGGTTAATCAAGTGGGCAGCAGAACTAAGGGAATTCGAGATAACATTTTAGCAGAGGTCTGCGATCCGAGCTCAAGCACTTACGGATTTCATCATAGAATGCACCCCATGTCACTCAATCCATAACTCCGAGCCAAGCGACCGGACCTTATATGTTGATGGAGCATTTAGTAGAAAGGGTTCAAAAGTGACTTGATACCCATTCCTACTTTAGTCAAGTGCTGTCTGTTGCGTTTTGGAGGATGAGTGTATACTCTTAATGGAGTTGATAATTATTAAATGTCTATAGCAACAGAGACATAAAGAACTCCACCTACATGGTCATAGAAGTGGTGCCGCTTCCACAAGAAGATGTTGGATTCTCTTGTAAATGACCATTATTAGCAAGATGAGCACATGGCCATAATAGTGCTACAAGGTTCTAAACCTCTTGGATTAGATAGACAAGTCTTATGTGTGTCATACATTCATGTCTAATATAAGAAGTTATGGTTTAATCCTTGGACACCAATAACTTTATTAGATATGACGTATGTACACTATTAGAAGGTTTAAATCGAGAGACACCTTCTTTAAACATCTTTCTTGTCGAGTAGAACTAAATTAACATTTCCAAACTAGTGGGGGAATGTTGAGTAGTTCGCAAATGTTAAGGTTCCACATCAAGAAAATATGGGAAGTTAAAGGAATTTATAAAGGCTTATTTGTTATCAACAAATAGATAAATAAAGTGAAGCCCAAGATAAATTGGGCCTTGCCCTTTATATATAGTCAAAGATGGGCACTTGGGCACTTGGGGCTTGACTTCCAAAATATTTATTTTTTATTTTTTATTTTTGGATTTTTAATTTAATTTATTAAATTTTAATCTAAAAAGACATGTCTGAATATTGGATAACTTTTGGAAGTCTAAAGGTACCTCTATGAAATGGTATTTTTCTGAAGGGATACATCCCTACAAGTAGTGGCTTTTCAATCAATATAAATTCTTATGCAAAGTCAAAGTTCTACATCTAGTTTTTGAGAGAGTTTGAGTTCTGTTGTATCCTGGAGGATTTTTGAATCCTTAAGGAGAGTGAGATCACGCCTCAGAACTATCTGTTTTTCATTCTGATAATCCTTATCTATAACAGTGCCTTCTTACCAAATCAGTTGATCACTGATAACTTTATGATTGCTTATGAAATCCTCCAATATATGCAAGCTCGAAAAACAAGGAAGCAGGGTTGGCAAGCTATTAAGCTAGACATGAGCAAGGCTTTTGATCATGTTGAATGGTCTTACTTAAAGCAGGTTATGCAGGCTCTTGGTTTTGCTGATGGTTGGATCAAGTTAATCATGGGTTGTGTCTCATTAGTAACTTTTGAGGTGTTACTAAATGGCAGAGAGGCAGGACGGATCACTACTACTCAAGGCTTGAGACAAGGTGATCCATTATCACCTTATCTTTTAATCCTATGTGCAGAAGGTCACACAGCGATGTTAAATGATGCTGTAACCAAAGTAAGTTTGCATAGTACCCAAATATGTAGAAAAGCATCGAAAATCTCTCACCTGTTTTTTGCTGATGATAGTTTTTTGTTCCTTCGAGCTACGAAAAGTGAAGCAAGAAATTTAATGGCTATTCTACGAGGCTATGAAGTTGCATCTGGCCAAGGGATCAACTTGCAAAAATCCTCCATTACTTTTAGTAATAATGTACAACAGAGGACACGAAGCTGGATCTCCCAAATTTTGGGCATGATAAAAGTCAAGCATCCGGGAAGGTATCTGGGTCTTCCTGCTTACATAGGTAGATCAAGAACAACCGTTTTCTTTGGCCTAAAGAACAGATTCTGGGCACGCATAAGTGAGTGGAGAGAACAGCCACTATCTAGAGCTAGTCGAGAAGTTCTTATTAAATCAGTGTTACAATCTCTCCCAAACTACTTGATGAGTCTCATCCTCCTACCGATCTTTCTATGTACAAAACTAGAGCATATTATGAATAGGTACTGGTGGGGAGGAGAAGAGGACGAGCACAAGATCCATTGGATGGAATGGAGGAAGCTTGCAATGTCGAACAGAATATGGGGCTTAGGCTTCCGAGCTATGTGTGATTTCAACCTAGCTATGCTAGGAAAGCAAGGCTGGAGGCTTTTAACATATTCGAATTCTTTAGCAACAAGACTTATGAAGGCAAAATATTTTCCCCGTTCGGACTTGCTACATGTAGAGCTAAAATCGCCCTATAATTTCACATGGTGTAGCATCTGATACTTAGCAGCTCTGTTAAAGTAAGGATGTAGACGCTTGATTGGAGATGGTCGAAGTATAGAGACATGGGGTGACCCATGGCTCCCGGGGAATATGTAGTTTTATGTCCAATCACCTCGACTCAAGGGTGTGACTTTCGTTTTGTAAGTGAACTAATTGATGAAGAAACGAGCTCATGGTGGAGAGATTTGGTCCTTGAGACTTTCAATGCACATGAAACTCAACTGATTTTAGCCATGCCTTTGAGTTGGATGAGGAGGGAGGATAGCTGGATTTGGAATTTTACCAAGCATGGAAATTACACAGTAAAATCTGGTTACTATAGAGCTCTTGTTATGGCAAGGACCTGTTGATGACCACTTGAGATTTTTTTTCAAAATAAAATGAAAAAATTAAGTGTGAAAAATATAAAAAAGAGGGAGTCGCCACTCATCCAAATTATAAGGTGGGACAAGTCACCTAAATGGGTCTGCGTAGAGATCAAGATTCGGGGGTTCAGTTAGGAGTAAGGAAGGGCATACGCGCACCTCACAATCCTCCGCTAAAATACGGTTGCATACTTTAAAATTGGGGTTTTGGTTCAACTTATTTATCATATTTATGTTTGAGTCTTAATAAACAAACTTGAAAAAGAGATAAACCGAATCGAAACACATTTTCTTTATTTTTTGGATTGAAATAGACAAAATCAAGAACATGCATGCACAATAAACACAAATGAAAATAAATGGACTAATTTGATTAAACTCAAAAACATGGAGGATGGCTTGATTAAATTCACAAACATAGAGGACTAATTTGAAAAGATTTGAAACCCGTGAACTAAATTGCTTAATCTTGAAAGTTCTGGGTAAAATTGAAACAAGGGAAGATAATTTTGCCTTTTAGCAAGATTAAAGGAAATTAAGGATTTAAATTAATTAACTAAGATAATTGATTTAATTAAATGATTAATTTATCATTAATTAAAATTAATTA